CAGGATTTACTGCTGCAGCTCTGCAGGACACACCCAGAACCCCACTTGCTAATTCCCCGTTTGGTGGCACACTGACTGCAGAGCTTCTGCCAAACGCCTCCAGGCTCCAGAGGGAAGGGAGGTCCATGAAGGAAAGAAGGAGAAAAAAGAGCCCAATTTTGTCTAAAACACTCTCTCTGCCACGTCAGACAAAGGCATTCATCACCTGGCCTCCTACTGTTGTTAATCTCTCTCTCTCTCTCTCTCTCTCTCTCTCTCTCTCTCTCTCTCTCTCTCTCTCTCTCTCTCTCTCTCATCTCTCTCTCTCTCTCTCTCTCACACACACACACACACACACACACACACACACACACACACACACACACACACACACACACACACACACACACACACACACACACACACACACACACACACACTCTCTCCTGATGGTGGTATTTTCTGGGCTGAAACAGGATTTCACGGCGGCGCTGTGCGGTTGGACGGGCTTACACCTGTTCCTGAATGCACCCACATCCCCGTCTGTCAGCTTTACTTGCATCAGCACAAACGACCAGACTGTTACGTCCTTTAAATCAAGACCGTCACATCTGAAAAGGCACATCTGCTCACAGAAATGTCGCTGCTTGTCATTTCACATTTATTCACTCTCCCACCTGGATAAAAGCCAGCGAACCCAGAGGTCAGCGACGTTTACGTCTCTTTGGTCCTGACATCGCTGGGCCTTTTGACCTCATCGTAAATGTCAAAAATAAACGCTGAGCCAATTAAAGAGCCACCTAGCATTCCTTACAGGAATGCCTCATCCCAGCTCCCCTTGTGGAGGAGAGCGTGTTTCGGACGACTCCAGGACTATCTGTCGGATTCACCTGATGCGTTGGTGTGTTTAAGAGGGGGGCCTGTTATGCTAAACTTACCTTTTGCATCCTTTTGTGCTGCCACGAAGGTCTCCACTGGAATATACATAAAAAAAATTCCATCACCTTTCTGTCAGTGTTTAATTTCAGGAATTACCTAAAACGAGCCACTTGGAAAAGTCTCCCAATTGTGATGTCACAATCAGGGAAATAAGCACAGAACACCCCCACCCCTGTGGAGGCTGGACAAGCAGCAACTCTACTTCAAACCCCTCCCTATCTGAACTTCTCATCTCACAGCGGCCAATCAGAGGATATGTGGGCGTGGCCTACACCAGCTTGTTTTCTTAAAGTGACAGAGCCCTGTATTGGCTCATCTTGGAAGCTGCTGAAATTGCTTCATGTGAGAGAGATTTAGTGTAAAGAACATGTTTTGAATCGACCACAGGACAATAATAACTTATTAAAAATGTCTTAAAACATCTCCTTTGGATGTGACTCCAAAAGTTCATCAGCTAGACACACATTTCACAAACTCTCTCTGAGAGTTTCCTAAAAACCAGTTTGGTTTTTTTCAGGAGTGTTTAACTAATGACCGACCTACACACATGGCCTCGCGTTTGGCGAAGGTGATAAAAGCTGAAACGCTTTCATGGAGTACGTTTACATGCAGCCAATAACCAGGTTATGATCGGGTTAAGGTCGGTATTCGGGTTTCTGAGTTGATCAGAATAACCCGTTTACAAGCACAAATAGAAAGAGTTACCCCTAACTTGCATAACCCGATTTAAATGCGGACGTTGGGGTAGCGTCAGGACGTGTGGACTACGTCCTGACGCAATATTTCCGGTTCTTCTCGTTCCGGTATCCGTGAAAACAACAACATGTTTCCCAGTTCGGAAGAGATAGCGACCGCGTTTGTTTGCGCTTTAGTTTCCTCGTCACTCAAAGTGTGTTGCTGTGCCGCGACTCGCCACGTTGCTCCCAACTTGTTGTTTACTTCCGGAGTTCTGGCGCATACAAGACGTCTCGCTACTCAAAAGACCAAGATTCCTTGCGAACAGAGCATGTGCAGAACACACGCTTTGATGGGGATATCCCGGTTAGAAAAGGGTTACCCCAGGTGTAGTAACCGGGTTTTTGGCGGTGTTTACATGGCCATGCAGAACCGGGTTATTGCGAATATTCGGGTTTTAAAAGGGTTACCGGCTGCATGTAAACACACTGCATGTCTCCCTTCTTTTTGTTTTTTTATCCGTCCACATTTGCATCCCACAACAAAACTATACGAGCCGCACTCAATCCCACTTCTGAGATAGGGAGGAATGGGGCTTTTATCTCACAAAAGCTTTAATGGAAAGCGTGATGTGTGCATGTATAGCTAAAGGAGTGTTTGAGGCTCGGCACAGGAAAGTTTTTCAAGGGAAGGAAGATGGAAAGAGGCATGGGGTGGGGGGGGACACATGGGAGACTAAAGCGCGGGGGTGGGGGTGGGGGGGGGGTGTAAAAACAAAAGAAAAAAACAGCCCATTTCTTTTCACCGAGGCATCGCTTCTCTTTAGATTGAAGCAGGAGGCAGATCGCAGCAAAGCGAAAGGAATTTTAACAGCGTTCCTCATTATTTATTTACTGCTGCAAAGGGAAAACTGGTGGAGCACGCAGCAGGAGAAGCATGCTTGATGTGCTCTTCATGCTCATATGCATCTATTCATGAGGATATAGAAGCGTATTGGCTCTGGGTGCTGTCAAAGTGATGATTGTGTATTTATCTAAAAAGTATGGATCATCATTGGCTGAACAAGTTTCCTCCTGAGGCTGAGGCTCATGATCTTTTGTCTAAATATGTTTTAATGACGTAAATGTATTAATTTATTTATTTGTTTATTTATTTATTTATTTGTTTGTTTATTTATTTATTTATGCTGACCTGAGCTGCACATTTCTGTTGCTGACACGAACAGGAAAGATGAAATAAATCTAGTATTCATGATGCTGACAAGTGTTTTAGTGTTACGTTCACAGCCATTCTTATGAATTTATAAATAAACATCATCATTGCGACGATGAATAAAATATTTATAATGTAAACTTTTTTGTATCATGACAGGAACTTGTTATCAACAAGAAGGAAAGAGGTTAAGTCAGGGCCGCGTTGCCGACGGTGAGAAATGCCCGTGAGAAGATTAAAACTACAAATCAAAACTCCAGTCTGAGCGCTGAAGGCCTGCAGGGGGATGGCTCAGTCTCTGGAGGAACGGTACTACCACCAGTGTGTGTGTGCATGTTTGGTTCGTTTAATCAGAAGATCAGCTGAAAGTCTCAACGTTTCATTTGATCTTTCACACAATGCTTTTAGAGGTTTTTATTCATTCGTTCACAGCTCCGCACTGATTTGTCCTCATCTAAAAACACCTACAGTCATTAACAGGACAACGATCACATTAATAACATCTACTTGGAGCTCATCCACTGCAGTGCTTTTATTTTGAAGGAGACCTCATTCCTCCGCCCAGTCTTTCCAGTCTGCTTGGCTGAGTTACGGAGACACTCTGCTGCTGCTAACCTCCAGCCTCTGGACACCATTCATCATGGAGACACTGAATACAAGCTACCTCCCTCTACACAAAGCAGGTCAGTGGGCCATCAGGACTGAGGAACCTCATTAGTGTTTGTGTGAGAGAACCTGAATGTTGCTGAAAGTTAACCAGCTTCAAAGTAAACAACACGGTTAAAAACCAACCCTGCTACGGCCAGTTATTAAACATGACTTGTTCATCTAGGACAGGGATTCCCTAAGTGTGGTGCTGCCACTAGGGGGTGCGCGAGGTGAAAAGTGTAATGGCTGCGGAGCTCAGAGAAGTCTGTCATATGTCACCATTAGCGTAGCCAGAAACTCATTTGTGGGTGGGCCCAATAAATGTAATTGAAAACAAGTATATTTTGCTTGTGTGTACGTGCGTACGTGTGTGCGTACGTGCGTGCGTGCGTACGTGCGTGCGTACGTGCGTGCGTGCGTGCGTGCGTGCGTGCGTGCGTGTGTGTGTGTGTGTGTGTGTGTGTGTGTGTGTGCTCTGTCTTCTCCATCCCCAGTGAGTCGTGGAGGATGGCTGCTTATACTGAGCCAGGATTCTCTGGAGGTTTCTTCCTGTTAAAAGGGAGTTTTCCTCTCCACTGTCGCTGCATGCTTGCTTAGTATGAGGATTGCTGTAAAGACTCTGGCACTAGTCAGTGACTCGATGCAACCTGCTGGGTTCCTTATGTAGGAAACTTTTGACTGATTGGCTTAATGATCTGACCTGAATTGGAGTGTTTACTGTGTG